GTGTGTGTGTGTGTGTGTGTGTGTGTGTGTGTGTGTGTGTGTGTGTGTGTAAGGTAAAGGTGACCTGTTTACAGGCCATTGAGGCCCATTGGGGCAGTGGAGACAGGACTCCACTCTTTCCTTAACTTCAGCATTAGGAGGTGATGGTCAGCACCATACTCCAACCCCACCCCTTTTACCCCCCAAAGTAACTCTTGCTACCCAATGGATAGGAGGAGGGGTGGGCCCCCATGGCTGCACTGGACACGGACAGAATTGTTGGAACCCCTGCCTTCACCTGTATGTGTGAAAGGAGGAGGGTGTTTGACTGCAAGTTTGGACTTAATAACTCCTTCTGCCCTTTCCTGCTTTTAGGTTCTGAAGTCCTTTCTTTGAATCTGGCCCCAAGTCATTCCATTAGAATGGAAAAAATGGGCATCAGTTGCTCAGAGAGGGGAAGGGAGAGAGAGGGAGACTGCAGGAGGGCATTTTGACTCCTTGCCCAGGGATGGTGTTACTTGAGCTAAGAGGAACTTAAACTAGTAAGGAAGAGTGAATGTTTATGTAAGATCAGGTGCACGTAGACTCCCAGTTGTTTCAGTTCTTGCTGTATACCTTTTGGAGAATAAATAACATGTTTTGGAGATGCTTTAATCAACTGTAGGTCATATACTGTCTGAGAGAAATGGCTCACAGGTATCAAATGCAATTAACCTGTCATGTAAACAAGGTTGGAAATGGGGATTGCTATGCCCGGATCCTATCTAAAAGTGGTAGAAGTGCAGGGCAGCAGAGGTAAAAGTAATGAAACCCTGTTACCCGGTGGCATAACTGGGCAGTTCTTCACTGTTGATGGCAGTGGTGCACCAGATAGTGGCTGCAGTTGGGCTGCTGGTGGCAGTGTGGCAGCAGCTGCTATTTTTATGGTCTTCCACAGGTTGGTACCAGGCCGAGTGCCTTGGATGCCCCCATCTTTAGTTACTCTGCTGCTGTTACTTGAGTGATACACTTGAGGAACTGCAAGGGGACATGGAGCACTGCTTATCCTGTTACTGTGACAGTACAGAGGAGCCAGGGGTGTTATAGCCTGATACCATGTTGGACTGGCTCAGTGGGAGTCGTGGAGTTGCACTCTGGGGTGGGCTGGTAGAAGCCTGTCATGTGGACAGAGCACCCATGAGAGAGACTGGGGGAGAGAGCACAAGTGTGGTTCGTTCTCAAGTCTTCACGCATGATATTTCAAAAGAAAACAAAATAAAAACAAAAAACACCCAAGAATTTTGCTTATGAAATTCCAAGCAGCTGTGCAGTCCAATGCTATAGAAAAAATAATGGTTTTCTCTAGCCACCCTATGCTCTTGCAAATGTTGGGTATTAAAGACAAACATAAGGGAAAAAATGACATGATTCTCATGTCAAGCAAACTTTATGTACCCTGTTAATGCCAGCTTAATAGCAATGTAGTGCTGTCCCTGAGGAGTTACAGCAGACTT